CACTGAGTTCTTCGTTTCGTTGTCTTCAAAACGCCAGAGCGCTAGAGTCGAGTCACGAGAACCCGACACTAGGAACTGGTCGTCCAACCATTTCATGTCAAATATCCAGTCGTCGTGCGCTCTCTTCTCGTCAATATTGCAAACAAATGTTTGAGTTTTATAATCATTAAAAGCCATCAAAACTCACTTCTCCGACACAAAATGGATCCAAAGTTGGCAATCGATAAACGGCCACATCGTTGGGGTTATCGCCTCCGGTGGCCAACAGAGTCCGCGACGGATTGATTTCAATGGCGTGAATACCGCACGGATTTTCGGGAAGTCTTCTTTTGGGCGAACTCTTAAGAGTTGGTATCAGATGTTTCCTGTTATTCATCACATCCAACACTACCAACTGTAAACAAATAGTAAATTAGTTTTAACCAAAATATAGACATGAAATGAATACAAACTTTGTTGCATTTGGTGCCGAAGACAATCTGTTGATCGTTCAGCCATTGAGAGGCAAACACTTTATTAAACGTTTCAAACGGGAAGTGTTGCTCTCGAAGCAGATTATTAGCCAACAAACGTCTTGTGCCGAACTCTTGCGGCAGTTGTGCCGCTCTTCGGAGGCCTTTGTTATCAATAGATCGCGAAGACGTAAAGTCGACCACATTTTGAGATCTGTCGGAACCGTAATATGAAGAGTCGATTTCGCCGTTCAAGAACTTCTCCATCCATTTGGGATCAGATAATAGCATATAATTGTTTCTCTCATTGTTTACGTTGGACTTAATTTGTGTGTAATTATTGGCTCTTTTGCTTCTTCTCTCAAACAGATCCACATAATTGTCGATCAATGGGTCCGTCCATTGACTCCAGTGATCATCTCTTAGGGCATCGATTCTCCTCTTCTTCACGAAAGCCATTATTTGTGTCAATTAACGGAGCATTTCATCAAAAACTGCAGTAATGTTTGTATTGATCACAGATTTGATAGCATTTCAAAACACAATCAATTCATTTAAATGTCAATCAAATCGCGCTTTCATTGCATTGTTTATAACAAATTAATCACACATTTAATCATCATTTAACACATGTTTGGCTCATATCAGGTCTCAATGCACTACTGGTCACTGACTTTGCGCTCAAACCATACAATCATTTCAATGCAACCATTGTTTGCCACAAACTCTACAAACAATTCACTCATTATTTACTAATTATTACAGTTTTTTTCAAATGATTTGTTTTGATTTCTCGATTCAATGTTGGCTTTCCTTCACTGCTCAGCATTTCGTGTATTTCACTCACATATAGTGTTATTCAATGGTTTGCAATGTTTTGCAATCTTTTCATTGATACTCAACGCATGCCTTAAGAAAAGGGGATTTTGGATATAATTTGACGTAACGTTATATTTGTTTGACTCGTATTCAGGTATTTGTGAAACAAATTTTGAATTGAGATTTAATTGAATCCATCGACTGATCGCTTCTTCGCCGCCGGTATTGAATCCCTTCCTCCGAAGCCATGGATTTGGATGTAATGCGAAAGGATTTGCTTGAATGCTATCATAAGAGTGCCATCCGTGGTCTGAAACAGTCGTCCAAATGGTCTTCAGAGCTGTTGCTGTCGCTGACGAAGACTATGGATGAGAAGCGATTGCACGAAGACTTGAGCACAGATATGA